CCACTCGTTACTGGTCTCCAACTGGACATTCTCAAGAGTTTTTTTAAAAACTGATTGAGGGATTTTGAATCCCAATCAGAAAATATTTATATCAGAGAGTATTCTCTTGAATCAAAAGAATAAATCATAAATGTTCAATCCGTTATGTTTCAGTCTATCTTTTCTGAATTCAGATGCTGTTTCGAGGTCGCTGATTAATGAAGTCCTTAGAGTGACACACGAGATTATGGTATCGTGTTGATTTATCATTCCATGCAATGCATGAACATGGCACTTCTTGCCATAGCACGTGGGAACTTAGAGCAAAAATTCAAACGTTAATAGTAACATCTACTGTGCTGTACCAAAAGTCTCTGGAGATGGAAATATGGAAAATGCAAAAAAATGTATGTGGGAAAATTGCCTTTTGATACTTCCTGAGCTCTCTGCACACAGAAATTGAAGTATTTCAGAAAATTTCCTAGCTGACCAACTGCCATTTTTTTTGCCTCATTACAGAGGTTTCTGCTGTGTTAGTTAATCGGGTTGTGGAAAACTTCAATGATGTCCCTGCCTGTCTTTCTACCCTGGTATTTCTGTTTGATTGGCTAGAAACCCTGTTAAAACATGGATACGCTACTTAAACACTCTTGTGTTATTTACTTCCTCTTGCTCTACCTTGACACCACAAGTTTATGCAACACTGTATCACAACCTGTAATGAAAAGAAATGGCAACAGAAAACTGTGAAAGTTGCTGAACACTCCCCTCCCACCCCCCTTTCTTCAGGTTTGTAATTTATTTTATTTTTTTTTAACTGTGATACATTGACTTATGTGTGAACCGCCCTGTGGGCATAATTTGTAAAGCTTATGCCCTTACAGTTTGGTTTATCTACGCTGTGCAAAGTACCACAATGTTGAGCTAACCTAATAAATACTCAGTAAACTGACTTGGGTATCAGAGTAAAAAAGAAGCTAGGTCAAGTAGGAAGCCCTGTCAGTCATGTAGTTATCATAGCTACATGCTTCTAATACTTTGTCAAGCTTCCTTAAAACTGCTTCAGGTATCTCTGCTCCTGAATGCACTGTTAAACAGGAAGCACAGCCATTCTTAAGAGATAATAGTGAAACAAGCTCTGAGATACTTTAATTGTCTTACATATGGTCATTGACAAAATGGAGTTGTTTTGATCTTGCAAGTTGGCTGCTGGAAAGAAACTTCACTTTGCATTGCCTTGTCCCAGACATAGCATGAAATATTTTTTGCCTGCTTCCCTAAATCTTGAAACTAAAAGAAAATTAACTGGCCACAGCTCAATCTTTGTAAGACTTGGGTGACAACAGCTGTCAACAAGAAGCCCATAAGGATATCAGTGTTTGGGCCTATATAATAGTACACTGTAAAATGAGGCAGGTAGCTGTCTTCATCAGCTTTAAGGAGAATCTAGGGGTTGGGAGGTTACAGCTGTCAATGTGGTATATGCCCACGAAGGGCACAGTTTCTGAGGAATTGTATCTGTGATTTTGTTCACATCTTTTGTTCAGAGTGCAGAAAGCCTGCCCCTTCTGCACAGTCAGACCGATTAATGACATGCTGATGAACAGCACTTCTTTCTTCCAAGCAGGAAAAGGAGTTACAAACCTGAACCTAACTTTCAGACTGGGATGTGAAAGGCATTGTTGAAACAGAGTTTTGGCATAGAAATACTTACTAGGAAAGTACACGAGAGCCTGTACCAGGACAACTGTTACTGTTCACTCCAGGATGTGGTGTCTAGTAAATTTGCATGTTCCTGAAAAATACTGAAATTCAAAACTATGTTCCTAAAAATTGCTTTCATCTTCCATAGTCCAAATAAAACCGTATCAGCATTGTGTTGTATTTTAGGTGTATTTACATGCTTAAGGAAACACAGTGGCCAATTGCCTCATTACAAATGATGTCATCTTTAGAAAAAGTAACTCCTCTGGCTGGTTCAGCAAAGCAGAACTAAATCACTTATGAAAGCATAAAAGAAAATAATTTCTGAACAGAGTTTTCACTCAGAATACTTCTACATGCAAACCTGCCAAAGTTTGTATATTTCACTTTGACCTGCTTTGTAAAGGGTATTCAGAATAGCTCAATGTAAAGTCAGCTTACTTTAGCAAGAGTAAGTGTTCATTGCGGAAACTGTGTTTCTCCTGGTATATTCTATTTATACGTTGCTTCTTTGCTGAAGATTTAGAGGCACCAACTCCTTTGGAGAAAGTACATGTTGAACATTTTTCAAACATACTTCAAAAACATTTATCTATAGCCTAAAAGGGAATATTCCTCTTTGTAAGTTGGAAATTGTGATGTTATTTAAAAGAATTGTTGAACATATTATGGAATTCAGAAAGGTGTTTTAATAATTTAATGTGTTCCCATCATATACAGTATCCAATCCTGCTTATTCGCTTATTTGCTACTTAATACTGAATAAAGCTCCTCTGCTGTGAATTTAATTATATTTTTTCATTGTTAATATTTTAGTGCAAAGAACATATGGCTCTTACTGCTGTTCAATCTATAAATAACAGGAAAAGGAAGAACTTAATTTTCTTGGTGTCAGTCTAGAGTTTCAGATTTAGAACAGTAAATCCATGACACAGTACTTTAAGTTCTGTTCAGAAATTGCAGCAACAGCCTGTGAGTTGTATAATACTGCATGTAATATGCCAGATGATTCATATAAAATAATGAAGACAATGATTCACATAAAATTATGAAACAAAAGGTCTGAACTGTTTCATTAAGAACTAGATTTTGATCTTCTGTAAGAATTTCTGCCAGGATGACACATTGGAAAAAATGTTAACAGTTCATTTTGCATTTAATATCATCTTCATTATTTTTAATGGTTACTGGGATGTATTTCAGTTCCTTAGGAAGCATTTCTGTACAGAACTAGTGATATTATTTTATTGATAAGTTTATAGTGTCATGTTGTAAGGAGCCAGGATAAGCTACTTTACCCTCAGGGCAGGCAAAGGGGGAATTGTGAGTGTCAAGGAGGAAGAATTTGCTATTGGCCAGTACTAAGAGCAAATTTCTCCTCTGCATTAATTTGGATCTGCCAGCCTATGTGGGAGCAAGCTGAATCAAGGTTCTACTAATTCTCCACCACTTTCTGCTCACAAGTGCTACTGGGAAGAGGAGTACAACTTTGCTCAGATCTCTAATGCAAACACCATTGAATTTCTCAACTATGTATGGCAATGAGGATCTTATGCTTAGTAATCTGCAAATCTCAGTAGTCTCATTCTCTTAATTTCATGCGTATTAATGGAACTATTTCCTACTGCTCAATTTGTTGTATTCCTATCTGTGTTTATATTTTTGGACTTTCACCCTTTTTCTGAAGGCGCGTTCTTGTTGGTTCAGTCAGCACCAGTGGCTCTTGCATAATGGTTGCTGGATAATTTTTTCCTAACAGTTCGACTTCCAACTTCTGTCCAACTTTGCTGAATTCTGTGGGAACATATGCAAAAGCCAGACTCTGCTGAGCACTGTAACTGAAACTTCCAGATGTGGTGTTGCCAATAACCTGGAAAAAAACCCCACAAATATTTATCTTTATTTTCAAGATGCATTGAGGTTTTATTAAAAACCAAAACAACCAAGCAATAACCCAAACAACTACACATCTCATATACTTGTTTTGGGTTATAGACTAAGGCATCAAGCAAGTTTCAAGTATGTCATGTAGTTCATAATATTCTCTACTGTGGGTGACATAACCTTAAACTGGGAAGTTTATAGTCCTTGAAAAAACAGTCTATTCCTGTTGTGTTCAATTAAGTTTTCATGGGAACGTACACCACACACATTCATATGTTTGTTATATATAATAATTTAACCACTAGTGAATGTTTCAATGTATAATCTGTGCTGAAGTGTAGAGGCCCAAACTTTGCTGTTGTTTTTTTTATTTCCAGTGAACAGAAAAAGTGTTATTAGGACAATGGAGAAATTGCATAAGAGAATGGATGACAATACTGCAGTTTGTTCCAGCTCTAGTTTCTGTGACTTGATGGTATTTCACATTTTCTCTGTACACATTTGGTTAGTCTTTGCTTCCCACATGAAGATTAGAAAGTGTTTATCATAGCTTCAAATTATTCTGTGCCAGTAGAAGTAATGCATTCACACTTGAAGCACAAAGTTAGATTCTGTTCATTAAGAATTAACATTAGTTGCATTTAACATGATCTGTAGTTCTTACCTTGCCATTATGCCACACACTTTCATTTCCCTCTGGATCAACATTATCTGTTTCCAGGGTGAGATACACCAGTCGCCGTTTGAGCCCCTTTTCTTTAATCTGCTTCAGTGCTTGCTTTCCTGTAAAGTCTGCTGGCTGAAAAAAAATAGAAGATAATGATGATAAATGGTTGTTAGGGTTCTGCAATATTTTAGACTTATAAGCATTTAAAATTATCTTCGTTTATTTTCCTATCACTTAAGTATTCTGTATAAAATATACATGAAATCAAACCTTTTACAGATATTGTATCTTGTATCTTGGTAGTTTTATATTGGTACATTATATCTTGGTAATTTTATTCAGTATATTAGTTTTTCTAGAACTCAGTCTTTTAATAACCGTAATTCCTAATTTCTTTTTTTCTTTTTTCCCCTATCTAACATTTTATGGGATAATGAAGCATTTTAGTTAAAGAATAATACTGTCATTTGGAGTTCCCTTGTTCAGCTTGCCTAGATAGGTACAAGCAGGTTTACATCATTCTAGAAGCATTCTGCATAAATGGTTGACAAGAACTGAGCCATCAGTATCTTTTTTGAATCCTCCAGGGTATATAGGACAGTATTTATTATATGTTGAGCTATTTCCTCTCAGACAGTCTGATCCCACAGCCAGGTGCAGAGGTATGAGCTTATCTTGCCTACAAGTAGCTGTGAACCTGACTTGTCTCACCCTGTTACCTCCTAAGTCTTAAATGTAACTCAGACAACTTCCCTACTTAGTTGGCTGGATAGAAAATAAACTGGAAAAAAAAAAAAAAAAAAGAGAATCATTATAAACTTTGTGGTCCTGGACAGAATGCCTCAAAAACCAAGAGAAAGTCCCTTCGAAGATGCTGACAGTTCGGGTAGAGGATAAAATAATAATCAAGCTGGATATCATTATTTTTAATATCCATGCATTAAACAGTGGCTTACAAATTCTGTGTGTTCATTTTGTCTTTAAAGGTATAGATCAGACAGAACAAAATACCTTTATTCAACTAATTTGTCAGAGCCACACCAGCCTGCCCCATGGGCAAGAACCATAACAGCAGTTACTCAGCAGTTCTCTGCTGAGAAGATGACTAGCAGTGAAAGCTACTTTTAAGCAGTTGATTTTAGATCTGAAGCAGGAATTATATTCACTTGATCAGAGTATGATAGAAAAGAAGGGAAATATTTTTTAATACATCAAAAATACTATTTCTGGCAATGATCTTTAATTCCTGTAGAGAGTCGTTGCACTGTCAGAATTACAAGCAACACATACTTGGAATAGATTGTTACATAGTTAGTTCATGTGTTTTTATTTCTGTAGTTCTTGCGCAGGTTCACATACATCTGTGTATGGGCTCAAAAGAAATTATTAAGCCAATTTTTTGAACTTGGGAAGATTAGACTCTGTAAGCGGTTGTGGAAAAGAACTTATGAACCATTTAAGGTCCACATAGTCTGAAAATCGAGGTATACCAACTGAGGATAAAGCAGATAAGGATCACAGATGGCACCCTTTGGGGAAAGGCAGAATGAAATACAGCACAGATTAGAAAAAGAAAGGACTGTGAGCGCTCATTTTAGAATATAACTGTCAAGATACTGCTAGAAAACAGAAAGCAAAGATCTCAGACCAGCAAAAATAACCAGGTACTGGTAGTTCCCTCTTACTTTTCACGGAATTACATTTTCATTACACAGGAACGTTCATGAAAGGAAATATCTACAACTAGAAATGCAAATAAGACTATATACTATAGCACAACACACGGACTAAAATGCTTTGCATGACAGACAGAAACACCAAGGAAGCAAATATTCTACAGGTACACTTAACACTGAATTACCTCCTTCCTGTACATGCTTATGTAATATCCAGTATTTAGTCACAAGGAATGTAACTGTGGAACTAACCACAAGTATTCAAATACAATGTTATACACCGTAGGACCTTCTGACTGGCCTCCAGCTGCTGCACTGGAAGAGGTATGGTCCCTTCAGTCTTGTCTCACATTTGCCAGCCCAGCATGGGTATTAGTGATACTCTAAGGAAACTAAGATGGCAGTATGAATGTCTGTAAATTTCTGTCTTTAGGTCTCTTAGTAGTAAGAGTGCCAAAAGAGAGGGCTCTTTCAGAACCAGCTTCTGTCAGCCGCCTTCTACTGTGCCCTTTTCCTCAGTTGGATCACCATCAAGTTTTGCAGAAGAACTGTAATCAGTGACTTGGAGAATGCTGAATCACACAACACAGATGTAGCTACTGCTATGCTAAGAGCATGGCTCTTTTTTTCTGGTATATTCAGATACTTGCAAGTGCATAGATGTTGAGAGATATGAAAGCCTTGTAAAACATTAATCATTTTTATGTCTGGGGTTGTTGTGGTGGGTTTTGGTTGGGTTTTTCTTTTTGGTTTTGGTTTGGGTTTTTTCTTGTGTATGTGTTTTTGTTTTTTTAATTCAAGATTTCTGGTTCATTTTTACCTCTCTGAATTCCTCATTTAAAAATGGAAAAACAACTTCCATAAAGGTTAATGCAACAATCGTAATCAGAGTCTTGAATACGACGTCATAACAGATGTGTATTGCTTTCATGGGTCACTTCCAGATTAACTGTATAGATGACAGCTGACTCCTGTTAATATACTAATTCTTGGAACCTTAAGGTTGACAGCAAAAGTAATTTTGACTTCCATTTCTTAATTACCTTTAGGATATGGAAACCATTAGAGCTGGCAGCTGGCAGGCTTTAGAATCTATCTATTTATGGATCATTTTTTGCCTGTTGGTTACAGACACAAGATTAAATTCTTACCCAATGAATTTTAACTAGGCCAGGCTTTTGGCCACCTGGAATACACTGTTACATAATTCTTAAGCTAGCTGGAAATGGATTTGAGGGATTTCCAGTAATGGGTTTGTTCTTTGTTATTTTATGCTCCTTAAAGGTTAAGAATATTCTTGTCTTTTTAGAATCATGGCTTGGAACATTAACCAAGAGATAACCTAGAATTCAAACTCTGCAAAGTGTACACAAATATATAAATACATATACACACACACTCTGCAAAAATGTGTATATATATGTATATGTGTATACATAAATGGACACATAAATATATATGAACACTATATGAACATGGATAAAAATGTATGTGTGAAAATGTATGTCTATATAGAATGTAAAACTGCAAAAAAGTTGTGTATATATGCAATTTTTAAATATTTAAAGAAACTCCTTAAGAATTTCTGAACATATAAATTTGACTAGTTCAGTATTTTTGTTCTACAGTTCTCGAGTATCTATCTTAATTGTACACTAACATATTTCCACCATTATTCATTTTTTATTTATGAGTGTTTGTGCACGAGGTTCATTACAGAAAATAGCATTTGGAAACTGATTCATTCGACCTCAGTCCAGCAATTCTTGGTAAAAGCTGCTTCCTCTTTCTCAGAGAAAAGTAGTCAGTTTGGGTATTGCTTCTATTTGTTTTAACTTGTCAGACTAAAAAAAATGCAAGGGAAAAATGCCATTCAAAATGGTATAGTTCAACAAATTAATACTAAAAAAGGAAAACAAAAAAACAAAACAGAAGAAAAAGAATGGAATCAAAGGAAAACCCTAAACAATTCCAACCTCAAACAAGCATCAGATTTAAAGCTGCTCTTAATTGTCTTTCAGTTTTAAAAAAATAATAATTTGATATGTAGCAAAAATGTAAAACTTTTACTACTGAAGAGCAAGGACAGTCCTACTAAGCTAAGCCTAAAATGAGAAGACGCATTATCTTGGCAGAAGCTCCTAAAACATTAAGATTTGGCAGATGTAATGTTTTTCACATAAAAGAAAAACACTTCTTAGATATAAGATTTTTACTTGTGTTACCTAACACACAGATTATAGTGGAAAATCACATCACAAAGACTAAGCACTTAAGTTTTTAAAATAGCATATAGCTAAAGGGATCCCACTGATTATCTTATGTATTAACATATTGGTCATATATATATATATTTTAAAGAGTTGAGGAGACAATAACCAATGAGATGATTTTGCAAGCACAGAGATGTACCCTGAAATGTTTATCTTGCTGTGTTTCAAGTGTGCTTGGCTTTTAATGTCATACAGATCCTAATTCTAATCCTCTGTAAAAATATTTTGTGTCTTAAGGGAAGCAAAGGAATAGAAATTATCTATAAAACTTTAAATTATTTATTTATTTATTTATTTATCAAGATTGTGCGGTTTAGCAGAATAAACTGTAAGCATCTAGCAACATAAATGTCATATCTATCCAACAGTAACTGGCAGCAAAGATATGCAAATCTCTTAATAATGAAATGTTGCAATCTATTCGGTATGCTACTTATGACTGCGGGCATATAGCCAAATTATGTGCACAAAGCCACCCGAGTAAGGCACCACCAACAGCTGCTGCATTCTGCTATAACCATCACGTTAAACACGCTGTAGACGGCACCAATACAGTATTTTGGAATTAATTATTCTTAGCTGAATGCATTTGGATAATTTCAGGGTTACACTGCAAATGATATCACCCTCATCAGGATGATAACTTTCCTCTGCAGGTAGCAAGTACTTGACAAGTTTCTTTTTCTGTAGCGAGACAAAGCTACGGTTAACACCACACAGTTTTTTAAGGGAGATGTGGCCAGTCAATATGTATGGCACCTGCATCACTGCAGCTTTCACTCTATCTGTCTAAGCCCTTCTTCCATGCAAACAGCCAGCTCTAAAAAATTGATATCGATACAAACAACTGATGAATTACTGATTATTTTGGCTCAACGTTCCTAGCTTAGTGCGTACTTCCTGCTTCGCATGGCCCAAGAAACACAATGGGAGTGACCTAGGTGTGCATTTTATACAGGTAACAAAATAATTGCAGATTCTTTCCTATGCGTTTCATAATCTGTGTAAATTTACAGAATAAATCCTCTGTTTTATGACCCTCCAGACATCAAATGAAGTAATGATACAATATGGTTCCACTCCTAAATTTTAATTTGAGTGGGGACAGGATTTAGGTGGAAAAGTACACCAAATAAGTATGTTATAGGCATAATAAATGGCAATTGAAAGAAAGGGGGTGGGGGGGGAAGTACCCTTACCCCCTTTCAAACACCTAGTACTTTTCCATTGCTCCATTTTTTCTCATATCCCTCTGCGTTCCCCCAGGATCCTTATCCCTTCTTCAGTGAAGTTTGTGCTCTTTCTTCTTCCTCCTCCCTTTCTTGTGTGGAGTAGAGCTTGCACAAAGCACAACCTTATACACAACAGGTTATGGAGTGGGGTCAGAGATCACTACTGTAGTTATTGCTCTCGGAACAGGAGAGACACATGTTGGAGAAGTGTCGAAAGGGACACAGTGGCAGTAAGGGGGAATTACAGAATCTCCTAAAGCTCAGCTTGTCCAGCTTCCAGTTGGAGCACTGCTCCTGCCAGACCCAAATAGCTAGTGCCAGCCATTCCACCTGAGCCTGCCCTGCATACCCTATACTAGGTTTTAGATGTGAGAAGATTAAAATGATTCATTTTCTATCGCTCCACAAACACAGCTCCTATTTTAAAGTCAGTGATTTTTTCAAGGGGAAAAATAAAATACATTAAAAAAAGAGAAAAGCCTGCAAATAATTTAGAAGTAGCAAACATAACCAAATGGATACAAGTGGTTGTTTTTTCTGCTTGTGCCCTTCACATTCCTTGCCTTTGTGTTTCTGAAAGCATAGGGTGTTACCACATCAGAACAGTAGCATTTACATGGATTGACGATACAAATGACTATGTATGCTGCAGTGCTGCAGAGACCCAGAGCCAGCATGTTCATCTTCTTTTCTGCTGTTTTCAGCACCTTCTCTCTTCACCTAGTGCTGGGTAATGTTTGTAGCCAGAGCCCCAGAGGCCCATGGCAGGACTAATAATTCTGTTAGCACTCCCTTTTTGGAGAGCATGCTCTCTGCAGTTGTGTCAGTTCTAATATTTTTGTTAGAAAAATATTTATTGTTTTGTGCTTTAATACATAAAGACATACCATCTTAGACCATGAGCTGGACTGACACAACTGAGAGGCAGTTCTGGAAGAGTGGCCAGGAGGTAAACAAATGACTAGGAAGAGAAGGACATGAAACTGTAAGCTTAAATCTGCTACCAAAAGAATAAAAAGATAGAAGCACAGCCTTAGAACAACTCAACTTAACTTCATGAGATAACAGCTTATATACAGTTTTGTTGGAGGTTAGGTCAATACTCAAGAACCATATCTTGTCATTCACCCATCTGTGTGAGGCTGACGGGTATGACACAACTTCTAGTCATAATGAATAATGAAGCAATTAAATGCTCATTTGTCTAATAGATGCAATAGTAAAAGCCACTGAATGTCAAAGTGAGAAAGAGGGGTAGGACTTGTAGTCCAAGAGGCATTTTTTGACATCGAAATTCAGGCAGTCGCTGAGTAGCACTGGTGGAGATGAGACACAAATAGTGCTAAGCAGACAGGTAAAGGAGAAGGAAACAAAGGAGAAAGTTCTGGCACTTGTTTTTGTTTCTTTTTTTAAAAAAGGCTGATAGAGTAGTGAGAAATGCTGGGTATAGCAAAATCTGGAAAGAAACTTGGAATGGAGAACAGAGAAACTGCCCCAGTAAATAAACAAGGCTGCCACAAAGAAACACGGTATTTCCTACTAGTGGAAACAAACAGTAAATCTTAGCTGAGCACTCAGGTCCCGGCCTGGAAGAGTGCAGTAAAGGAGAGTCCCACATGGTTTACATTACCTAGGGCATTCTCTTCCCAAATCGCAGTGAGCTGTTGCTGCAGAGGGAGTGACCAGGAGATGGCAGTCTTGGATATAGCAAAATCAGTCACAACCCTACGAACATTTAACTTCGGATTGCTGTAGCTGAACGCTCTTGATGAGTGCGAGCGCTGTTGAATTCATACGGAAAACCCTTCTAAAAGAGTTTATTTATTTCTGTGTGCTACTCAAATTGACATAGAGGTTTTTCAATCTACTATTAAGTTTTATTGGGACATCTTGTCCATTATGGTCAGGATTAAAATACGCTGTTTTAAGAATATTGAATTAGCTAAAAATAATTAACCACTTCAGAAGACCAAGAAGAAACATAGCAGAAGGTTTTGAAGATGTAGTCAGCTTCCGAAATTAAGAAATATTTTTTCTATATATCCATAGTGAGCATAATAATCAGTTATAAGTTTAAAGTGTAGCAAGAAAATATTTTCTTATGTAAGGATGGTGAATTACTAGAACAGACTGCCCAGGGAGACTGTGGAATCTTCAAGAGTGAGAGGTCTTTGTAATTTCACACATGAAATTTTGATCTATATGGCAAGGTAAACACAGATGTAGTTGGTTCTGCCACAGAACAGAGATCTGGAGTAAATTAACATCTGGTGAGTGCTTATCTTTTACTGTAATAATATCTGAAAAATCCGTTAGTTTTAAATCTGGATTTTGAAAAATAAAAAGCATTCAAGGTCTTATAATATATCTTTGACTTGAACCTGAGAAAGTGCAAATATGCAGCAGAACTAAACAATATTCTGGGATGCAGAGCAAAATTAATTACAACTTTTTCTTCTTTAAAGATACTCTGTGAATTTACTGCCACAACGACCATCATAATTCTATCCAATATTTATTAGCAGAGTGCTTATTCATGAAAAGAGTCTTTCTAACAACTTACCTAACTTACTAAATGTAACTGAACAACTAAAACAACTACAGCTATTAAAAAAAGACCCACCCCTAAACCAGGCAGATTTTGTTCATAACTTATGAAGACATTGTGTTCTCTAAATTAGAAATTAATTCTCTTAATGTCTCTCAAGTTTGGTTTAATCACAGCCCATCCTGCTCATCTATGCAAAGAAGCAACTAACACTAACTTTAGCGAGAAAATAAGTATCAAGCAGAGTCTAAAGGAAACCACCTGGAACAATACCATCTCTTCAGCCTTACTGATAAAATGAAAGTTGTCACAGAAATCCCGAGGAAAAAGGTTTATTTATTGTCATGCTATACAGACCGGGGGGTGGAAAGAGGGTGGGGGGTGTCAACTTAGATTTTAAGAGTTTTTCCTGTTACTCAGGATGAAAAATTTACTAGTCCATATATACCTGAAGATAATGCATACCTCAACTTTGTAAACACAGAGAAATATCAGTATTTTATTGGGAATTTACATTTCTTCCTATTTATTCCCCACATATTTAAATGTCCTCTTGTGGAAATAAAATACTTTTTTATTGTATTACCTCCACTGTCATTTGGTCATTTATACACTTTAATTTCTTTAGAAATTGTTCAGGTTTTCCGTGACATACCACTCGAGATTCACTTATGCTGAAGTTTTTTTGCTTGTTTTGTGAGCTATTTGTTTGAGCTGTGTGTTGCACAGAAAGACTCTAGTAATTGACTGAACAGTACATTTTGGTTTTAATTTACACAGAAACCAGCACTTTCCCTAGTTGGGGGTGCATGCTTAAAGGAATAATCCTTTCCAAGCATCCAATAAATTAAGATGTCAAAAAAAAATCTAAGTATCTGTTGCCTGTAGCTTTTATCTCATTCACCTTTTATGGGTGAAGTTTCCTTAACAATAGGAACCGATGATAGCAGAATATTTGCTTGTCTTCAGTCACCGTGGCCTGTAAGGAATGCTGAGGTCTATGCCATGCCAAACAGACACCAAAACCAGAGGTGTGGAATTGGGACTCATAGCCCCAAACTGCCAAAAAGCAGAGTAAATAATCTCACATTACACTTCATACTACAGTGTTTAGACTGCTTTCAATATCTGAGTAAGCTCAGGTACCTTTGCAGTGTAAACATACCGTCACAATTGCCCTCGTTTGTGTCAATAAATAAACATTGATTATTTCCTTTTTCACATCAGTTCAGCAAAACTGGCAAACGTTTTAGGCTTACATCCTGCATCTATGCTGGAGAGTCAACACCATGCCCGTTCATCTACAATGTGAATATCTGCTCCAGAGAGCTGTTCCAACCCTGCATTTCAAGCCTGCAGAGAACTTTGCGGAGCAATGAAGAATGAAGTGTTTCATGCACGTTAGTGCCTTCATACATTCTGCATGGCCATCTTGGCAAGCTTTCCCTGCTTCTGGCTGCTTTCCTGCTTACACTAATTAAAAAAAAAAAACAAACAAACAACAAAACAAACAAACTCCTTTAACAAGAATAAGCAGGGAAAACATTTTCACAATATGAACAGGCTTGTTCAGCTTGTATATAGACACTAAATGTTTATAAAAGTACACGACTCAAATTTCTCTATGAAAATAAATCAAAGTTATTTTTAATGTAGACAACACTTTTGCAAGTATTTGCAACTTTCTGATCTAATGTGTAATTTTGTTAGCAAGAAACATGGGAAAATACAAAACATTTTTAAAAATCTAATTGGTATTTATAAAGTACTTATAATTTTATAAACCTATTTTATTTTACAGATAATGAAATTTTTGAAATTTTTTTTCCAAACACTTAAAAAAATAGCCTTAGACATAATAGAACACTTTGAAAATAAATGACATACCTTGTTTAGCTTTATGAAGCATTCCAGTCCCGCTTCCAAGGGATTAGTGTCACAGTTCATCTGTTAAAAAAGATAAATTCAGCATCCATACATGGTAGACCATCATAGCTTTTGGATTGGGGGGTTCCTTTCTTCATTCTATTCATCCTTTCCTTTACTCTCGTGTCAGTGTCTTCCACGTTGCATCTGTGCAACTGCCATTTTAATACACTGTATGCTTCCAGTATGGGATTTGAACAGAATATCTACTACTACGCCTAATATGAAGTATAGATACGTAAATCATTCATCTAAGTTTTAATATGCAAAGTAAACATTTCCGTGAGAAACAGAATTTTTATTAAAGCAGAATGAGATCTATAGAAGACTGAATAACTAAAGTTTGCACATAAAATGCAAAACAGCACAATGTCCTAGCTGGAGAGGAAAATAAAACACAAAGCCAATTTTATTCACCATGTTTCCATTAAGAGCAAGGTGAATAATTTTTTTGGCAGCATTTGAAGCAAGAATGAAAGTAATTATCACCAGGGGAAAAAAAACCCAAACAACCAAAAACAAAAGAAAAAACACCCATCATTTCATCTTCTTGAGTTCTTTCATTTCCAAAGGCATTAAGAAAAATATCGGGTAAGCAGAAATTATACTGATTTTCCCAAAATTCTCTATCCTCCCTGGACAGTTCTTTATTGTGAGTGCGCAAATTTGGCAGACACAAGCTAATGGTAAATGAAAAAATTCCAAATACATTATGAAGCAAGAATAATTGGCCTCTCCTGACATAGTTATTACAGAAATAAAACATTTTCAGAATCTACCAGCCAAACCTTTGATTTCAAAACACTAGAGAGCAGCAAAACTCTCAGAATTTTGTTACACACAAGAGGGGAAAATATCAGTGAATCAAAATAAATGTCTCTTTGCCAGCAGTGCAATGGAGTATACTGATTATTTCTATTCAGAAATTACACTGTCCAGAATCATAGCAGCTTTTCCTGCTCAAGGTAAATTTTATTTTCATGCTAAACTGAGACACTGGAACAAGCATTATTTGTGCTAACTCTAACTAAAAGCAGTATAGTCATAATGAAACAAATAAATAAATAAACAGAAAGAAGAATAATGAAGTTACATTTCCTGACCTCTGCTCCCCAGGCTCGGAAACCCTTTTCCAGTCTTAAAGCATTCAGAGCATATGTTCCAAAGTTGTCAATGCCCTCTTTTTGGCCAGCTTCCATGATCGCATTGTAAAGAGCTATAGAATCTTCTTTTCCATGATAAAGCTCCCAGCCCAATTCACCTGTTATACAAACAAGATTACTGCTTTCAGCAGCAAAACAATGAAACAAGCCTAATAAATAGAGTCCTGTCTTTGGTAAAAAGTGGGGGTAAGTGCTATAAGTGTTAATTCACATTCTAGGGTCAATTCTGCTATCACATAGCAAGTCTAATTCCCTGAAGGAACCACCAGAGTCTATGCCCTAGATCTTAAGCAGTGGCACTATTATTCTAATTTAAGCTGTCAACTGAAATCAGGGTGGAAGATGGAATCAGAATAAACAGTGAGAAAAGGTCATGTAATGAAGTCACAATAAGAAGTGGTGCTTAAGAGCATTATAAACAGATGATGACTTGGCAAGCAAACAGCAAATTAACTGAGTATAAATAAGCATAAAACTAATATGTTACATTGAATGCAATAGAAAGAGTATGAATACAAGGACTTCAGCTGCTTCAGAATGCTCTGAATTCAGTCTCTTGCAGTAGAGATGGACTTAAAAAGAAATAAAACCAAAAAATAACTGATAAAACCAAATACTCAGCACTACAGCATTACATTTGCAAGGCATGTGACAAAGACTAATATAAGGTACTCCAAAACCAATTCTTGACGTTGGTTTTGCAGCAAATACCACAGAGGTTATCAAAACTGGCCTTTTGTTCTGTAAAATAAATATTTGCACTCTAGGGCATTCTAGAGAGAAAGGTCTTGAAAACTCAGCACTGACCCTGACCATATCACATTTGAAAATCAATGTACTTGTGTGTGTGTTTCCTCACACATTAATATATAAAATGTAATGAACCTATTTCTTAGGAATACATGATAAGATTCATTTTTCAACCTAATTTTTGTTACACTTTATTTATTGTCTCTTTGCTTAAGAGTCTGTTTCCTCTATTGCTTACCTGTGTATGATATCCTGATGGCAGTAACAGCAATATCAGAAAGTTTCAGATGTCTAGACTGGAGAAACTTAAATGAACCATCACTTAGATCCTCATCTGTCAACTTCTGGAGGACCTGTCTTGCGTAGGGACCCGCTACACCAAGTACTCCCATCTTATCTGTCACATTTTCTATTTCAACTTTGTATCTGCCTCTCATCACAGCCTCTTCTATCCATCTGCACATAAAACACAATATTGATGTTAAATTCTTTATGAAAAATAACTGATTTAAATGAAATATAACAAGGAATTATGTTTTGTTGGTATTCATCTTCTCAGCAGCTCCCAGATCCACACTTCCTCAAAAAAAAATAGAATTATGTGATAGTCATACCCATCATTGATGTTAAACTGTTTTCTGGTGAATTACTGGTATATGAACACAGGCATCTTGGATACAGAGAGGAAACATGATCATTTAAATGGTTGGAACAGAGTTTTTGAGATACGAGAAAGAAGTGATCTCGTAGGACTGAAAACAGATCTGCCTTCAGATCCAGAATGTGTTAATAAAAAATCAACATACAAAAAGAGCAAGCAATAAACACAACGAATACATAAGAAGTTTCCAAATAAATTCCCTGTGTCAATAGAAGTGTACAACCAGGTTTGTTTCTTCCTTCTGTACAGTATTTAAAGTACCAGCAGGAAGTTCTGTTTTGATTTAGTCAAAACCAGCTCATATTGTCTTTCAGGAAGCTCACAAAATAAATGAAATACACATATTTAAAAATCTTATGAAGTACTATTAAGCACTATGATGTACATGAACACTTTGTTAAGCAGTGTTAAAAGATAGCAGGCACAGGGGAGCACCAAATGGGACTCTCGAAATTTTCTAGAAGTAAATGCACTAGATATGGTTCTGCCTTTGTTTCCTGAATGTGCCAATGGTCCTACTTATGAGACAGTTATGAAACAGTACATTATTCAATGTGTATTGGGATAGCAAAGTTCAGTCTTTTATATGTTGATTCATTCTGAATAACTGATTTGTCAGCAATCTCCGGTGAGAAAAATTCTTCTTCTTAATATGTAAGTACAGCCACTAATAGCAGTAGATATGTAATTTCCAGTGCTCATCTACGAAAGGCATTTTAATGAAGTCATTCTGCAACTGCTTCTACTTCTTTTCTTTCTGTTATTTTGTTTTATTACCCCAGATCCCAAAGCAGAAGACATTATCACTGTACCAGGAAGACTGCACTAGCAATCTGTATTGGCCAGGTCAGTGCCTGTGGGGTCATCCATGTTTAAAGCCAATTTTCTTTTTTGCGTAAGAGAAAACACTAGAAAGGAACAACCATGCTGTGTTCCATCATACAATGCCAAACACAAACAGGTTCAAGAACAAAACAAGAACCACCTCCATCAAAGTATATTACACAACTATCAGTAAATTCCCCCTTTTTCTACATCAGCAATAATCCAATCTGCAACTGCTTATACTTCAGGATTCAAGTCAACCAAGTTTCTAGGAAACCAAAATCAATAAATAAGTGGAATTCTCAGGAACTTAGTGAAATATTTATTGAGTAATAATAAAAAATTTGGCACTTAATGGAAAGGTTTCTATATTAATATGACTATAGGACTATGTACTTAGTGTATTAAAAATAAACTAACCTCAGGTCATGGAGTTCTGACCCTGAGCCAGTTACAAGCATAAATTCTCCAGGATACAGTTGAGATACTGTTAGCTCAGCATAAACTTTTCCTCTTGGTGTTAGCATATGGCTTATATTTGTGGAACCCACCTACAGAGTAAAATTTGCAAATATTAAGAATGCAAAATAAAATATTTGAATTCTTAAACGTTATGAAATATATGGAAATATGTCTTCACTTGAAAAAAAGCTTTTTTTTTATGGTTGTTCTCCTGTGCCATAATAGGAGTAGACAGATACACAACTGGCCAAGCTTAAGCTTTACAATTGAAACTACACATTTTTCTTTACTTAAAAAAAAAAAAAAAAGCAAAAATATGAAATAAGATAAATCAAGACCATTATAAATATTTGTTATTTGTGTATTAGACAAGGCATTCTTAAGCTACATTTGATTTAAGACTGCATTTTCAACATGAATTCAATCAGTTTTACTTTGTTCCCTGATCATCCAAATAAAAAAATTCTGTGTATTATTGACATAAATATTCTCTTTCAGCCATGTAAATAAGGGTTTCACATCCCAAAAGGATAAAAGAAACTTTGCCCCTTACTTTAAAGAACAAAATGCTGAGCTGGCTTATGCTTTTGTGGCCCTGATTTATGTATGCTTTTTTATTTTATGTAGTTGCTGACTATGAATCTACATCTCTGTACATTCGAATCAGGTTCTGTGTAGAAACATGATCCCTAGAGGCAAAATTTCAAATAAAAGTTACTTAGCTGTGACCATAAAACATATATATGTTCATACAGATATCAGCCATAGGAAGAGAAATATGAATGTGCGATAGATCTTGTGCTGTCTGGTTCCAGAGGCAAAATTTAATTCTTATTTCATTCTGCTTTCATAAGAACCTTGTCAATCACCCAGTCAGAGCCCAGACTCCAGACAATGAACAGAAAAAGGAAAAATATTGCAGATATTAACATTCTTTTGCAAGATCATATTACATTAATACAGTTACTCACATACTGCAGGCACATAGTTGAATTTTCAGGATCTAATGCTGGTCACACTCAACTTGGTTGTGATACAAGTATATCTCAGTAACTTCACTGAATTATTTTATGATGCAGATGATCATGAATGGCACCAAAACCCAGATGGCTTAAATAATCAACTTTGGTGATTGCTGGATTTTTTAGTGGACTCATAAACTGTTCATTCCACTTTGCCATCTAGCTTTCTTTTTTTCCTTAGTAACACTGATTAAACTCTATCAGAAGAACTAGCTTTGTTCTCATAATTTCCTGTTCAATCTTGCTTTCCCTTCATCACATAAGTATATTCACTGTTACCCATGCCCATTGATGACACTGTTACCCTGCCTCTACTCCAAGCTAGAAAGACAATAAATTTTCAATCTATATTGTTATCACAAAATTAATACAGTAAAAAAATATGACTACGTAGCAATTCAGGTTCTTCTTTTTCCTAAACTTATAGGATACCAGTCTTGTGTACAGCCTTCCCATTAAGTTGGCTCTGACCTCTGAGAAGTTACCTACCTTCATAACTATAGTCTTAGTGTACTTACTGTTTCCCTATGCTTCCTCCCTCTGGTGTCTGAAGTGGCTAAAACCATCGCCTACAGCAAACACTTTGTGCTGAAATGAGCAAAGCAGGAAGATAAAGGGTACCCCAAAGGGTAGTACCCTTTGGACTACCAAAGGGTAGTGTGGTGCACTACCATAAACTGAGGACCATTAATAAGAAACCTGGGATGGTTTGTCACAGTACACCATTTTTTGAAACATGATCATATTCTGATTATCTGTGAGCAGTCACAGTTGTGAAGAAAGGACAGGGTGAACTGAAAGCTGAATATCCTGAATATTTGGAGCCTTTCCTGTTCCAGCCAGCCAGGTGTAAAACAGAGTCAGTATAAGGGGGTGGAAAACAAGCATAGGTCACATTTGAAGAAAAGAAAAATTAAAAAAAACCCCACAACAGAACTGTTCCCTTGGGCATCCAGGAAGAGTACAACACCCAGCTACGGTCACGCAAAAGCACCTTTCACTGCTCTGCTCTGCTGCCTTAAGCTTCCACATTACAACACAGTTTTAAGCAGGCAGCTACCAAGCTATTCCACTATTTACTATTATAAAAGAATTCCAGGGGAGATTCAACTGGATTTCCTTAGACAAGGATTTGAAATGCAGGATGTCCTGTCCAAACATTAGGAAACACTTTTGTACTGGAAATGTGACTTAAGCAGAGCAACAGGTTGACCTGAGAGCTGGTGGAGGCTCCATCCTTAGAGATACTCAAAAGCCATCTGGACATAGCCCTAGACAAAGAGCTCCAGGTGACCTGCCTGAACAAGATGATCTTCAGAGGTCCTGTACAACACCAATCATTCTATGATTCAGTGATCTCTGCCAAAAGGTACTTATGCTTGGGGCTGCTCTAATATAAACACTACTGCTCATGCTCTTAACTGAGTGAAATACATCTCCTTGCACAGCAATTTCTCCAAAGGATCTGAGTGTTCATTATCTGAAAGATATGGCAATAATATTGTGTTTCATTTTCCATTCCTGAAGCAGATCTTGTTTGTCTAAATCCTATATTAAAACAGTTATCACTGTCCATTTACCTTTGGAACAACATTTGCAAACAGATGATCCAGCATCTTAACAGAATCTGTGCCTTTCACTTTAAACTTGCCAAATGGTGACAGGTCAATCACACCGACATTTCCCATAACCTGTTTATACTCACGACCTACAGGGTCAAACCAATTTGTGCGTCGAAAACTGGGCCTGAAACAGAGCATTTAGACACATAAAACATCATTTGGAAATTTTGTGCTCTTTTCAGCAAAAGGTAGTTTCTACCTTCTTCAGTTTAATAATCATTCAAAAGAGATAGACTTTCCTAACTGTAGGTAGCTTACCCAATATTTTCCTTGGCCTAACATAGCTTAATTATTAAAACCTTTTAACAACAGAGAAAGATATGGGTTATTTTATCAACCATTTTGTACAATCAAATGTCAACTGTTCAAATGTTAGAAGAAGTTGTGGTCTGTCGTGTAAATTTACAGCATACTTTGTCGGTGAATCATGTATTTGAGTTTAAGGTGTCAGAGGCTTTATTTCTGAACAGCAAAGTGTGTTTCTCTATTCTTTTAGGAGCCTCATTTAGATTGGGGTTCAAGTATCCTTGTGGAAAACATTTATTTGCTGGATGTTCCCTGATGCAAGCAGGTAACTATGTGGACAGGCACAGAGCAGGGGAAAAAGAATTTAAAAAACCCGTAAGATGATTTGGCGTATCCTTTCCTGAGAATTACATAGAGAGAAATGAGCTTTTTCATGAAAACATCATCCTATGCTGCTGATCAAATAATAGTAAAGGGTGAAAAATACAAATTTGTAATGAACTTAGTCCTCTCTAATCTGTTCCTTACGCTAGGCTGCTCCCTGATATCCTAATCCTAGCGAAGTAACAGGACACCTTGATGCATTATCAGAATTAAGTGGGTTCTAAACTATGGAAAAACTAAGAATGGAATATCTACCTAATTGATACATTTAGTTGAAATGAATAATAAATGTATGTTTCTCATTAATTTTATCTCGGGGAGGGGGAGAGAAATTAATCTTTCATTTACTTGTATCCAGTCTCATCTCCAGGTTTGTAGAACCAATGAGGTTGCTCCCATCCTGCATGAAAGCCCATTGAACATTTTGACTTCAGCAAATCATACAGCCCACTGGTTCTCTCTGTTGGTCTTCCAGCAAATCTTTCTTCTTTAGGATAACCAACTAAAGGGGAAAAAAAATCCAGCAAAACCCAAACCAAAAATAGATGGCATACTAAGATCCTCACCAAGACAGAATACATGTATAATGGACAAAGAAATCTAGAGGTAGGCTTTGTCGGAATCCATTTTCGGGATATAAGTGTATTTTTAAAAATACCTTCTTACCAATGTTATTAAAACCGTAAGATTCTCTTGCTTTGGCTGCTGTGTATTCTATGGTGGTCCACTTTCCATAGCGGTTGGGATCTAATTCTATCAGGTCAAATGGAGGTTCCCCCTCAAGGATCCAGTCACTGAGGTATTTTCCTATGCCACCAGCATGTATAATGCCATACCTTGAAAACAGGAAAAAGTACTGCAGTGTCAAATCTTTTATGTTTTGTTTTTAAAAATCAGTACTAGCATATACTACTGATATACCCCCTAAAGTATTTTAAATTTTTCCATGTTTTATTGTTGCTGTTATCATTCTGTTTTATCTTGTTTTCCAATATTACATACTTTATTGACAGATATTTCTACTACCCCACTGTCAGCAGCAGAATGCCATTGCTAATACACAGCTGTTGCCATGCTTGACATTACAGCAAGCTCTTTCATTCCCTAAAGTCCAGAATTTCACAATCTTTTCCATAGATATTAAAACTCTTTTTCAACTAAGAAAGTTTACAAATTTATGATATCTGTTAAATACACTGTCTAGTTATAGAATACCTCTTCTTTTTCAATCAGGTTTAATTAAAACAGACTCAGATTTGAAAACCAGACTGAGAAATTCTGGCAGCTACCTTGTTTATTTGCATTACAGTGACAAGAGCAACAGCAGCAGAAGTCATGAGACAACACTGCCACAAGAGCTTTAAAGAAGTTGAAATACCAGCAGTAAGCAGTACATTTTATATTGTTCTACAGAAAACCGGGGAACGTAGAGGAATTGGGCATAAAACGACAAGGTATGTTTGCAGTGGTGCCAAAGTTTGAGAACTGCGTTTCTTCACCTGATTTACTTTCTCTGTTCTCTTTCAGAAAGCTTATGTTAACAGAATAAGTAGATAGCCATTTTGTGCTGCTTGTTGGTAGCAAAAGCTTGTCTTGTTTCTACATAATGAGTATATGAAGGATCAAGCTATGGAGCTCTCTAGTTAAAAACTTACATTAAAGGAACAACACCAGACAGAAAGGTAGATGCTCAGAAGTTATAAAGTGATAAATTTCAGATTTTCTCACTTAAACGTTTGTGCATATTCTAACTTTTGAAATGCTTGACATCTTGACATCCATAGGGAAAAAGCTGTGTGCGAAATGTGTTTCTGTGAGGTACCCAAACTAGACAACTGGAGACAAGGAACTTTGTTGTGCTGCAATATATGTTATATGGCTACTTGTCTACGTATGACCAAACTGTACTTAGTGTAATGCTAAACTACAGGCACCTCAGATTTGACACTGAAATATTTCATGACAAATAATTATTAATACCAAATGATGTAATCTTTTAAATACCTCGGTGAATTAGTTTGCCATATCTAAAAAAAAAAAAAAAAAAGTGTCAAAATAGATTTCTGTCTAGGGAAAATGTGAAAATAAATTCTTAACTGTTTGTGAAATGCTCCAATAAGCACAACAGAAAAATCTCTAACGAAATAGTAAGTCTGTCCAATCCAAGTGTAGATTAGCATGCGGCAATCAGATCACATCATTCACACTGAATAGCAAAGCCAAAACAAACTCGAACTGCTGCTCAGCAACTTTGCATTCTGAATTCTATGTCCTCAATTAAATAGGCAAGGATCTTACAGAAAAAAAAACCAACCCCTTATGTAATCATTTCATTATAATGCACATGCATAAGAAGATTGAATTCAGGTTACATAGACAACTTAATTCTGGCACTTCTAGAATGCCTGACCTCATAATATTCATGAAGTAATTTTGGTATAGTGGGGGTTTATCTGCTATTTATTTATTTATTTAAATTAAACAGAAATATCGAACAGCTGAGTACATGAAGTAATTCTGCCAAACACTCCTTTAGGCTGTTCAGCATAAATATTCAGTCTCTCAGCACAAACTTCTATCACCACAGCTGATGCAGTAAGGATGAGTACTTGAAAACTGCCACTCTGCAAGTGCTACAGAAGAATTAGCCATTGCTGGTGTTAATGTAATTAGGCAGCTCTTAGTTATTCATGGGTATAAGTTTCATGACCATGGCTATGACACCTTCAAGAAAGCTTCAGAAGAAGTTTTAGCCACTTTAAGCCTCCCTGCACCATTCACTGCAGCCAGAACCATAGGGGAACAAACCCCAGTTCTGCTACACAAGAATGAAACACATGCAGTGCAGGGACAGGCTATTACAAGCAGCTGCAGAGAATGGAACAGTTTAGGCATGCTAGCCTTCATACAAAGATTTAGAGAAAATTCCTTTAGTGAACACAAACTGCCCTTGTTTTTCTCTCCTTCCAGTCCCTGCCAGATTATCTTCTCCATCGTCCCTGTCCTATTCTTGTGTTTTACTTAAGAGTCCTTGTTTCTCACTGATTTTTGTCTCATTCCATTCCTTTTTCCCAGGAAATCTGAATCCCTGCACACTACGGTCCTTTTTATGGGACTTTTTTCCCAGGTCTTGTAATTTTTCTAATCTATTTGTGCAGGAAAACTCCTGGTCAGCCTCTGGCTGTGGATACTACTGTAGACAGAATGCAGGAATCTTAATGCAAGATTTAGTGAGTCCCTAGTAAGTGTTTATAAGCCATAAGATTTACAAAGGCTCGTGAATGGGACTCATGGATAGATTTTGTGAAGAATGGCAGAAAGGCATATCTTTGGGAAGAAGGTCACTTCTGCCAAATTTTAAGTTCATTCTAAGTAAATGGTGTGATTAGAGATTTACAAAAGAAAGACTTCATCCCAAAAACATTAACGCAGCAAAACTACATACTTTCCAATAATCTCGTTCTTTGGAATGATTACAATGCTTTGACTATATTTTTCTGAATAAAATTCTAGCCTGCTTGTGTTAACGTTTTTGAAGCCATAAGTAACTGAAAATGGGAAGCATTGAGCAACCTTAATAACAAGCTCTGTTAATTATACCTAGTAACTTCTTTGCATGTTAAAATGCCTAGCAAGCTGCTAATTTTAGATAATAAGAATCCCCTAAACTAACAGCACTAAGTCCTCTGTCACAATGTCCCTGCTGGTTGACTATGAGATAAGGATTTGCTAATGCACACAAAAAATTACAACACTGGTAGAAACACTGCAGTGACCCAGAAACACAGAACAGAGAGTCAAAAGTCCCTGAAAAGCAGACAAGGCAATCCACTGACTGCAACTCAGTTGCAACCTGTGTCTAAATATTTAGAGATTAATCAAATTCCTGAAAAAAAGTAATTTGAAGAAACTTAGGTGTGTAAAACTAGTCTTCAGTTTTTCCTATATGGAACTTTGATTCTACTCCAATTGACACCAGTGAAGGAAAACAGGCTCCAAAGTCTGGCAGCAGAGTAATGAACTTAACAGTCTTTTTGGCTAACAAGGACTAGGCAAACCACTTTTGTAACTATAAGTTCTGCAAATGTTACTAAAAGATAACAAATTTATTTGTTTATTTTTTTTAATCCAGGCAGGAAAGGTGAATACCTTTCACAAGCAATCATTGCAAAATTACCAAACCTTTTTATTTTGAGGACCTCAGAAAGCATGTTGGTGATACTGCCTTATCTTGTGATCTGAGGGTTTGTTTGGTTTGGATTGAAAGAAAACTGGAAAAAGCTGAGCTGGATTTTGAACAGCAAATTAGGCAATTGGAAAAACAATGTAAAAAGAATGTGTTCAATAACATGTGCCTGAAACTGTATTCAGTTCATTCTGTCCATCTTGAATCAATGCTCAGAGTAAAACAGTTAAGGAGAAGTCAGTAAGGATTTTGCTAGTGACTTCAGTGCAGCCAAAGTATATAAGATGTAAAATTCATTCAAAGAAAATATCATAATAGGCAGAAGAAGGACATCAGTAAAACACTTACTCCTTTTGTCACACTGCCCTCTTAATTTTCTTTCCTCCGACACCCAGCAATGTCATTTTCCAGCTCAACCTCCAACAGTCAGAACCACTACTGTGTTCATATCCCTAGAGCAGTCAGTTACCCAGTATGCTGGCAGTGCCTTCTGCTTAGTACACCTTTAATGCTTCACCTTAAAGTTTATACTTCATATGAAAAGTTCTCCCTGTACCACTCAATCTTGCCCAACTTCATTGACACCAGTTTCTGCATAAGCCAAATGACTGCTGAATACAGTGTAATCCAAAGCAACACAAAAAATGAACTGTGCATTGTAAAACCCAGCACATTTATGACTTTGACTTGCTGCACAGACAGTACCAAGTACTACTCATTTCTTTCTGCACAAGTGACACAAATATTTGCTTCCAGAATGAAAGGAGGAGACAAATCCAAAAATTAGTGAGAGTTATGAAGAAGTAGGAGAGAAGGATGAGATTCTGTTATGTGGGTAGTGGCAATTAAGACTATTTCCAATACATTTTACAAAAAATATGTGCAAATTCATAAAAATGTGAAAAGCTTGAGCTGACTCCCATTTTAACAATATGACAGACACAAGTTGTCATGCATTTACTCACCCGAAACCGATAGCTACCCAGTAATTTCTGACACCCTGATGTGGTCCCACCATAGGAAGAATGTCTGGAGAATAGGTGATAGGACCCGCAATTGTGTTTACTATGTCTGCTTTTTTCAGAACAGGGACCATTTCCATGGCAGCTTCAATGTGCTCCATTATTCTGTCTAAATCAGACTCAAAAAGTTCTTTTCCAAAACCTGCACAAATATTTGTCTTTTATTATATACTTCATTACACTGAAAATACTGACATTTTAAATACAGTTATGCAATCCATATATATGAAACTTAAATGGAATTCATCAGTGTGTATGTTTAAGCCTTTGCTATCCTACATAAGAAAAATGGTGTCTATAAATCTTTAGTTACTTGTAGGATCCAGTTTATTGTCACTGCAGTTATACTGTTCTTTATACATATTTATTTAACCCTGAGGTCATGCAAATTCAACAATGAAGTAGAGAGAAAGTACAAAAACACAAAAACTTCTTTCTATGTTATTAAGACCCACTTATTTTTTTCAATATGACAACAATTTTGGGAGGGAAAGAAAGATATTATCTGTGTCAGCTTATGATTTCTATGGTGTTCAGTGAATTTGAGGATATATTTTACCCTTGAGTCTGGGCTCTAACAATTATTGAACATTACTCTGTAGAGGGACTTGATGCTATTAGAGACAATAAGTTCAGGAAGCTGTGACAGTGCAGTCCAGAACCCAACAGTGCTGATTGCTCTTCCTTAGGAAACACGTTGTGGGTTTTTTTAAACAGCAACACTATTGACTTAACGCGTCTTCCTGTTTAGAAGTGAATGGAATGGTGGAGCCTAAATATAAACACCGATTATCTTTGGTTTTGGTTTTTTTTTTTTTTTTTTTAATAAACAGCAGTATGACATAGGATTTTTTTGTACAAAAATTCTATACAAATGTATAGCTTTCTTGCACTTAAATAGAAGTACAGCATTTTGTTTAAGGCATTCTTTTGCCATACCTCTGTTCCTATTGGACAACCACATTAGGGGAACAACAAAAATCCAGAGCCCCTGTCAGTATGTTGGAGAGAACTGTAGCTTAGAAAAATTCCTGTTCAGTTGCAAAAGGCTACTAACACAGATTTGGTGACTGCATCTAATCACAACACACTTGCACGTGTTCAGAGAATAGGGTAAAACTGTGTCATAGACGTGCATTTTGTGCTTTCTGGTGTTACGTTTTTATTTCTATTCACCCTTACCGTTAGAGTTGCAACTGTTCTTTGAAAAGATGTTTCTACATTACAATCATGCACTGCAAATATTCTCTATTTTCCATCACATAAGGCAGCATGACAGGCTGGGATTTATACACATTAAAATATTTGCTAGTGTTTACCAAGTTTAAAGATTTAATGTTCTTAATTACCTGGTGGAACTCCATTTGTTACCCATGAGTCCTGCAGCTTCATCTTCTCCCCACTTTCATACGGACCAAATAAAAGACCATCCCTTTCTTGCCGCAGATAATATGATCCTTCTAAGTCACGAATCACAGGCAATTCTGTTTTTAGGGCTTTCACTTCAGGGATAGTTGATGTCACAACATACTGATGATGAACAGGTACGAGAGGGTGCTGCAGGCCAATCATCTTGCCAATGTCACAGGCCCAGAAACCTAGAGAATACAAAAATCAAAATAGAAATATTCAAACACTAATTTCAGTGAATGGAAAATAACGGTAAAACAGTTGCAGGAAGGGCTGAGCTTTATGCAATGTAACAAAGAACTATTTTTCCATACTTTTAAATTTTCAAATTATTTGTTTACATTATAAAGCATAATCTTCCTTCCATAATTCTATGTCCTTGTTCCTAATTATACTACCATATGTTACTCTACTATACAGATACTTAAAAAAAATTAAATCAGTAAAATACAAATTAGGCTTCTAAAAGTTCAGAAGATAATTTAACTAATGGTCCCATAAACCCCATGGTTTATTTCAGTAAAGTATGTCTGCAGTGCAGTCCTAGCAAAGTCAGAGACACTTAAAAACCAGAATAAGTTAGGTCACATCACAGGTGTTAACCTAATGTTTTACTATCAACCACATGAGCTTGTATGCTTTTCCAGGAACGTAGTCATCTAACACCCCAACAGTCCAAGGCAGTACTTTAAGCCAGCTAACCTCAAGAATTTAAGTTTTTCTCCTCTTTCACATACATCATGTGACTCATATTAGTTATATCTCCCACACAATAATCAACTCATGATGGTGTTCGTATTGGTGAGTTGTCAGTGTGCTCTCCCATAGCTGTCAATTAAAAATTCCAGTACAGACTTTGACCAGAAAATACAAGCAACAATCTCCCTGCCCCTGAAGCCTGCTCAAGGTCCTTCATGTATACTACTAGGTGAAGTTAAAGAAGACGCAAATCTTCTCTGTTATGGTTAAGCTGTTAAGACACATTCATTTAGGGACTACCTGTGTCAAAGTCAAGGAGCTGAAGCCACTTAACTGCCAGACTTGTTAGTTTGGGCTTTGCATCATGGCTTACATCTGTAGTAGGGTGGGAAGATAAAGACCTGGGAATCAGATGGATATAACTGACTGGGATGGCAGCTGCTCTAAGGAGCTTGTAATACCCCTCAGGTCCACTCTCCTGACTCTTTGGATCAAGGAGCAGAGATGTCAGAAGTGGGAATGGGGGAGGAATCCAGTGAAGCAAGAGTTTCAGTGGAGGTGAGGACTTGGAGAAGGCAAAATGGAAGAGCAGGAAGAGGTAGCAGAGCCTTCCAAATAAAAGGCTATGTGCTGTATGGCACCCAGGAAAAGAAGTCAGGTCAGCCTGGTTTCTGTGTAACCAGCTGACTCCAAATTGTTCATGAAAAAATATGTCCAGCAAGATTTTCTGCCTAACACAGCTGCCTCTTTCTCCTGGGATTTACACTCATGCTGCCTAGTTTAACATACAACTTTTCTCCTTTTTGGTGCTTAATTGTCTTAACCATATGCTCTTACCTCTCTCTTCAATTTCATATTCTCCAAAATCTGGTCAAAATTTAGCTCTCAGGGCCCTGAGGGTGCTAAAAGGTGTTATAGAATCATAGAACACCAGTTTGGAAGAGCCCTCGAGGATCATCAACCTTTCTTTGTAAAAAGTCTAGACATTAATGACCGGGATCATCAGTGATCCTGAGCAGACTCACTTGGGACTTCCACCCATGTCCCTGCCCATAGCCCCAGGAGCCTCATTTCAGGTCAGCTCAGGGCTGTCAGAACCTGTCTGAGCTGGTTTGATCGTACCTGTGCCTGTTTACAGCTCTGTCACAACCATGTCTGTGCCTGGCCATGGACCACATTGATCCAGACCCTGATCCATGGACTTCTTCCCAGTTTGACCTCAGCCCAGTCTCATCTCTGTGCTCCCAGGCACTGTCTGACCCCGGTTACTGCCACCAAAGCTGTTCCTGACCTGTGGATCAACTTTCTGGCTTGGCCTCAGCAGGGCTTCACCACTATGGATCTACCATAGTTATCCAAAACATCCTTTAAGGCTAATGAAACCTGAACTATACCCCCTTATACAAAAACCAAAACCAACCAACCAAACAAACAAAAAAACCCCAAAAACTCCAAAAAAAAAAAACCCCACAAAATCCCCCAACAAAACCAAAAAACCCAACCCAACCAACCAACAAAAACAACCAAAAGATTCTAATAAAGTTGCATTTCTAGCACATCTGCAAGGGTTTCCTCCATTACACATGGCAAATACAAATGTGGATTTAAGTGGAAGCTAGCAATCTTTAAGGAACGTCTTCTGATTTGGGTATTTCCATGTCGCCAACAAAGAAAATTATTTTAAGGTAAGGTCAGCTAATGATCCATGGAGGAGAAGGAAAGGTGAAGTAGTAGAAAAATGGGTCTTTGAAATGTAGATTTTTCTTTTTCAAAATAATATTAAATTTCTTAACCATTAAGTTGCAGATGTACATTACAAATATAGGTGATTTTAAATAGCTTTTGAGTTACAGGCAAATAGTTCAGATTTGCTCAAAATCAAATCTTAAATACTGTATTTCTAAAAAAATCACGATAAGTGCTTATTTAATTGCTTAGAATAACAACAGCTGACATTTACTAAATTAAAAATATTACAATTTCTGTGCTTAAACTGTTTGAACCATGTGCAAAGCTATTACAAACATAAAAATGGTAAAGGAAGAACACGTCTGAAACAAAATTCTAATTGGAAGCAGATGTCAAGTTCTATATCACACATAGTAGAGATAAACGAAGGCATTAATTATATCTTTAGGACATTTGTGAAGATTAAATTGTAGGGATTGCAAACATCTGATGCTGAAATATTTAGTAGTGGTATTAGCACATCTGCTGAACTATGTAATCTGTCTCTTGTTTTTTAAAAAATCTTCCATTACTATGCATATATAAATGGTTGAATATACAGTGTGTACATGTCTGCAAACGTGTGCTTATATACACACACACATACTGTATATGTAAACTAAATTCACTATTTTTGTAGACTTTAATCAAACATTCCCTTATAAATAGGCTGCAAATCACTGCAGCAGGCTCAGTACCAGTTAGCTCCTGTCAGGGATTATTTATTAGGCATCTGCTTTCTTCCAAAATGGACATCTCACATAAGGAACAGCTAAAGATTGGTTGAAACTAGTTTGTTCCAGTTCCACAGCAGATGTCAGTTGGGGGATGAGAGGGAGAGAGAATATAGAAAGCCTTCTGATACATTTTTCTCTGCTCATATTGCAACATGAGCTTAAAATACGAGCTCTGAATGATACCAGTCATGATCTGTAGTGGAATGAGGCAAGGCTGAGAAGAACGAATGTTAGCTGAGAGAACATTTACAAGAGATATGTGGTATACAGTATTGATTTCACACCCTTAGCCAGAATGTTAAGCAATATGTGCTTCAAATGTTCATTTTAGCTGAACAGTTGACTACACAAGAGAATTAACTAAATCTATTGTTGACTTAATAGCTTACTGAATAATAAAATGAAACATGAAAATTTCACGAGGGTGCATTCTAATTTTTGCAAGTAAACTCTGAAAAGCATTTACTAGAAAACTCTGCTTAGTGTCAACTTGATAAATAAGCCAAAGAAAGAGAACTACACTACAAAAATATAAGGAAACGACTACATCTGTGATGATACTTCATCCATATGATGCAGAGCAAATGGCTAGGAATAATGAGAGCCTAGAAGTTTGCGGCCTAAATAAGAAGTCTGATTGCCAAAAGACCTGCCTTCCCATTCCAGAATCTTGGATCATTATTGACCAATATACCCATACTGTGTAACAAATGACATAACAATCCTATTAGTAAGACAGCTTGTGATTTTGTAACTGAATGCTGTCCCATAATTCATGCCTGAAAGCCATGAACTGACAGTCAAAGTCAATCAAATATTAATGCTTCTCATCTTCTAAGTGCTTAACTTTGCAGCCTAAGTAAAATTCTTTTAATCTGGCTTCCCTGTTTGTGTGGTTCAGTATGCTAAAAAGCATACTGAACTCTTCTAGTTCTCTTTATCTCTAAAAATGTCAGTATGTGGTACCCATAACCACACTTACAACTTCAAGGTGAACTTTTTTCAGATCCCTGATATTTTAGCTAGGCATATAGCAATAACGGGTGATCACCTACATATGAGAGGTATATGATGAGAAACCACACTTTTCAGTGGGTTTCCCAGTTAGTCTTTACTGAAAGCCTGGAATGATCTAATGCAGGGCTGTCTACATTCCAGACACTGAAAGAAAAGTCACCCAGTAATGCCCATCTTCTCAGAGTTAACCCTTTTATCCCATTCCCTCCAAATTCCTCAGTGTCCCAATCTTTTCTCTTCCCCATCTGTGCTTGTCCCATACCTGGTCTTATTTTCCACTGTCTAAAGCTCTACTCTTCTTACTTCAGTCTGTACATCCTTCTTCAGCTATGTTGTCTCCATGTGCAAGTCAGCCTCACTTGTCAAATCCTGTTCTGCCTGCCTTCTCTTCCAATCTGCTCTCGTCTACCTCTCCCTTGCTATTCTGCCAGTCATTCAGGCTCAGACTGCTCAGGCAGCCCCACTGTTCCAGTCCCAATTTCACGCACAACCATTCTTACAGTATCGTTCCTAATCTTTTTGCCTGAAAACCTCCAGCTGCAGTTCCCTTAATGAAACATTTTCAGATGCCTTTCCACTATCCCTCTCCATGGTCCCCACTGTTGCTATCCTCGCAGTCCTTCCCAGTTTGATCTTCCTTATTCAGCACGTCCTCTAGCACACTAGCTGCCAGTGCTTCCAACCACCTCCAAGAACCTTTCCCAAGCATTTCATTCTCCCAGTCCAACTCACTCATAATTCCAATTCTTAGGCATGACAACCAACAAGAGTCTCTGTCTCACTTGATTTCTCTGTTTTATCTGCTTTGCACTAGAAATAGATGGGTTTTTCTTGTCCACCACATAGATGTAGAAAGGAATTATAAAGATATATTGTTGCTCAGTTCACTTGTCCCATCTGAGAAAGAAGTCCTTTTAAGCCATCACAGCTTCCTACTGGAGCCTGATAATTCACTGAGATTGGATATATGAAAGACTCATGCCCTAAAAATGCAGATATGATTCATTTTGAGACAGACAGTCTGCAAAAGTTTCATCCTAATGGTAAATATTCAGAATGTTTTCAAACAATTGAAAGCAGAAAGTCTTATACTAGGAAGTAAAGGGTATGAGGTACCAACAGTTTCACCAATAATACGTAATTCTATAACTTATATAAAGACACATAAAAATAAGTGAAGTTTGGGTTGAATACAGGTCTTTAGACCTATCGACTTCTTTAAGAAAACAAAAACAAATCCAAAGACTTTTGCCCAAAAGCTCTTCGAAGCAGAAATATTGGTTTGGCTTCTTTAACACAATGAAGAATAAAAATTGCACATGTAAATACGGGCTCCTTTGAGTTAGAGTATCTTTATTACATGAAAAAATGTATCGTTAAGCCAAGCATATGATTAAAATACTACTCAAAGGGCAACAAAAATCTTACATTTCAAGGGTATGTGGACAGAGTTAAATCTTAGAGAAAGATAACACTAAAATAGACAGGGTTATCTTACTTGCTGCAAATCCTCAATCTCTTTGAAGAAATAGTGAAGACTTTTCTGTTTCATTTGTACAGCCCATCTCCCTTCCTAAGTAGCTTTCATAGAGGACAATATGCACAGGCAGAAGCCTCTCTTCTACACAACTTACCCTAGAACAAAAAAGGTCTCTTCTGCTATTAAAATCTAACAAGACAGCCTTGTCTCCTGCTGGAGACAAACCAGAAAGAAATCTTTTTGATGCCCAGTCGAGGACAATTAATGTAAGAGCTAAATTTTCACAAAACTGTAAAGTAATAGGTGCGAAGTATATTTTACTACAAACCAAGTGAATGTCCGGAAACATATATTGCTTATTCCTGTAATCCACATAATTCGGTACAGATGCTCTGTGTCAGCCTGTTTGTAAATATGAAGAGTATACAAATGCTTATGTTAAATCCTACCTGCAGCATTCACAATTCTTTTTGCTCGAATTATTCCAAGTGGAGTTTCAACTTCCCATGTTCCATCTGATCGGGAGTTCAGGTTGGTCACTTGGACAGGGTAATTTATTTGGGCACCATATTTTCTGGCTCCTGCAGCCAAGGCCATAGTGAGAGAATAGGGATCAATATGACCATCTCCAGGGTTATACAGGCCAGCTAAAACCTAAGAGGAGGTAAAATCCCACAAAATTTAAAAAATTAAAACTTACTAAAATTAACAATTTTTTTAAAACTCACTTTCTTTCTTGAATGCAGTAAACCTTAAGGAGTCAAAGCAAAGCAAATTTTCAAAACATATGATAATATCAGGGCTACAGCTATCCAATTTAACAATGGTCTAAAGAAGTTGTTTGGTTCTTCTGTGCAATTAAAGGTTGCAATGCTTTAATATTATAGTATTATATATTGCAATTAATAGTATGCATTCTGGCATACAGTATGCACTAAAATGCATGTGAGTCTGATTTTAGCTTATAATTCATCTTTTTTCACTGGAAACCAAGAATTTATTGTACAATTTGTATAAAGGGAACAGACCTTCTGTCTACACATCTGATAGACCAATATTTAATTGCAAAGGAAGTTATTTCCCATAAAATCAGGTTCTTTACCGTATCCATGTTCAATAAGGGAAATAGCTCTTGTACTTTCTCAGGCGTGATTAAGTACTGCTCTGTTGGGTGCCAACCAGCCCGAGTCATTTGGTATTTGAATTCATCCACCCTAGTAGGAGTTGAAGCAATTCTGATGCTGCCAGGCTGATGAAATCCCACAGCCTAAAACAAAGAGCAAAAGCTAATTACTTAAAGAACCTTTTCTTACCTCCGAAAATGTTCCTATGCTATGGGAACTCTAGGGACTAGGATTTTTTTTGTCACTAACATCACTGAAAAGAGATTAAATAAAGTTAGATGCCCTTGAAGGAACAGAACTTAGATGTAAACTCCTAGAGAAAGTAATTTCTAAAAAAATAATTCATCAAACTTCCTAGGTTAATACTTACTATCTTCAAAACAGTTGTAAAAACCTTTTATTGAATGTCATGATGCTATTATTTTTATTAATGTTGAATATTTGTAATCTTACACTTTCAAAAGTAGAATCACATACATTTCAAAAATAAATACGTAATTGCTTATGTTAAAGCCTATCACCTGCATAATTTTCTATTGAGATGCTGCAGAATACATTTAACTGGCTAAGCACCTTTATTAACACAGTGAATAACCACCCGCCTTTTTTTGTCTCTTTAATAAAGTGGAAATCCTTAAATAGCTGGACATCTCATGCTCACTTTCTGATATACACTATTTATTTGATGGGATATTAATATGGCTGAGTAAGTCTTTCAGTAGAACTCACAATGATAATCTGCTGAGCATCTTACCTAGATGAGCAGTAGAAAGAAGAAAAAACCACTTTATTACGATTGTCAAGTTTTTAGACTAGTACAGTGAGGATCATGCAATTTCTGCTGAAGTCTGAAGCAATCATGAATTTAGTGAACAAAAACTGTATGGCTGAATGATGCCAGATAAAAAAAGACAGCTCCTGTGTTTCTTTGCATACCCATTCCTTAAGTCACTAAATAAAAACACATCTCTGAAAGAGATGGGAAGAATTACAGCAATCTTCTCAAGTACAGACAGAGTCATA